ATCCCATCCCATCCCATCCCATCCCATCCCATCCCATCCCATCCCATCCCATCCCATCCCATCCCATCCCAGGGGAGCCAGCAGAGAGGTTTGTGCTGCTCTGGCTCCCCGTTGGGAGGTGTGGGGTGCTGTGCCAGCCCCAGCTCCTGCAGGGACCCCAAAGCCCCTGGGCAGGGCTGGAGCTGCTCCAGGCTCAGTTTTTATCTTCTAAAACATCACAGAGATAATTGTCTAAAATGTCTTCACTCACAGCTGCTGCAGCGGTTGGGTTGGGGTTGGTTTGGGGTTTTCCCCCTTTCCTCAGGAAGAAAAGCTGCTCCCTGCTCCGGGTGTTGCCAAGGCCTGATGCCAGGTCCTGCTGCCTGTGTTTTGCAGGAAGAAGTTTTCCTGGAGCATTCAGATGACAGTGTTTGCCATGATCTTTGGTGCCTTTGTGGCTGCCAGGTGAGCTCTCCCCGTTCCTGTTCCCAGTGCAGTTCCCTGGAGTGTCCCAGGAGCAGAGGGATTCCACACTGACCTTCCCCAGACGTGCTCTCCAGTAGGAAAGAATGTTTTCCTGACCCAAATCCCACCCCCTCCTGCCATCATGAACTTTTCTGGCTCCAGAGAAGGTGGAGGGACCCTTCCAGGTGCTGTCCCTGCTCAGCCAGAGCTTTAACTCCTGATTTCCCCTCCCCAGTGCTGACTTGGCATTCGACCTGGAGGGATACATTTTTATCCTCATCAACGACGCCTTAACAGCTGCAAACGGTGCCTACGTGAAACAGAAGCTGGATTCCAAGGTGGGATGAGCTCTGGCTTCCTCTGGGATGTTGGGATTTTGGTTTCTGTGAGGGCACAGGGGGAGGCTCAGCCATCCCATTCCCAAAATCTGTCCAGAGCTGCTGGGGACAAGGGATGGGGGGAACAGGACACAGGGAATGGCTGGAGGTGAAAGAAGGTAGATTGAGATATTGGGATGTTGGGAAGGAATTCCTGGCTGGGATGGAATTCCCAGAGCAGCTGTGGCTGCCCCTGGATCCCTGCAGTGCCCAAGGCCAGGATGGATCCCAGGGATGGTGGAAGGTCCCTGCCCATGGGACTGGATGAGCTTTAAGGTCCCTCCCAGCCCACACCAGCCTGGAATTCCATGAGATATGAGAATTCCCAGCTGGGTTCAGCTCCAGCCCCACTGGCTGTGTGAGCAGGAATTTCTGTTCCCACTCCAACCTTGGCCGTTCCCATTTCCAGGAGCTGGGGAAGTACGGCCTGCTCTACTACAATGCACTGTTCATGATCCTGCCCACCCTGGCCATTGCCTACATCACTGGAGATGCACAGAAGGTAGGACAGCCATCCCAAAACCCATCCCAAAATCCATCCCAAATTCCATGGGTTCTATGGCACACTGTGCCATGGAGGAGCTGGGGAAGGGCTGCCCCAAAACCACCCCAGCAGAAAGGAGCCACAGCTTCGACGTTGGACCCAAACCCACAGAGTTGCTCCATTCAGGCATTTTTGTAATGCCTGAGGAATGGGGAAGTGGAGAGCAAGGAGAAAACCCAAATATTATTTAAAGAAGCTGAGTAATTTTAGAATCAATGAGTTTATTCAAGCTTTCTTTTTTCCCTGTCCTTCCCCTCTCGCCGGGGCAGTTTTGTGGAGCTGCTCTGTGGGTTGGCTTTACTTGTGGTGATCTTGGAGATGATAATTATATTAACAATACTAAAAAATAAATAAATTAACAATAGTATTAATATTAGCAGCAAAATAATAATAATAATAGTAATAATAATAATAATAAGGTTCTATATACATGAAATTATTCTTTATGATTACTCTGATTATAATTATTTACCTGGGGTCCTGTATACTTGAAATTATTATTATTGTTGTTGTTATTATTATTATTATTACTTTATTACTATTATTACTTTATTACTATTATTACTTTATTACTATTATTATTAATTGTTTTTGTTGTTGCACTCATTGATGTGCAGCTGGCTCTCCTGACAAACGAGTTCCTTTTTCCTGCCTGTTTTTTTTGGGGATCTCCTCCATGTGCAGGGAATTGAGCTGAATCCTCTCCCCCAAAGGCTGGAGGTGTTGCCCACCCTGGCGGTGGCCCTGCCACCCTCCCTGTCCCCCAGCCTGGTGGCTTTGTCCTCGTTAGGAGCTTAAAGCCCGGGGATAATGAGCTGGGCTTAGCAGGGATGGCAGGAGGGTGAAGGTGGCTGGGCCCCGCCCTCTCCCAGCGCTGGATTTGGGATCAAAGTGCTCATTGAGGAGCAGGAGCTGGGCCTGGGCAGGAAAACGTGGCTGTGAGCAGCCTCTGTTCAGCCCGGGGAGAGAAATGGCTTTTTTAAAATTTGCTTTTCCCCCTGAATAAACTCCTTTCTGGGCTGCACAAAGATGTGCTGTGTGCCGGGGCTGCTGCCAGGAAGCTGCAGCCCCAGGAACCCCTGGGGAGGGGGGCCAGGGCCCCTCCTGTGCCTCTGGCTCTGGGAATTGCTGTGCTTGCTCTGGAGGCAGCCCAGGTGACACGTCCTGCTCTGCATGTGCAGGATTCCTGGGCACAGGGGATGCAGGAGCTGCAGAGGGGCCCCGGGGCTGGGATTTGGTGTCCCTGGGGAAAGGGCATCCCCAGGTGCCAGGCAGGAGCCCTGGGTGCCTGGGCATTCCCTGCCCAGGTGAGGGGAGCAGCTCCTGCCCTGGGGCTGAGCTGGAGCAGGTGAGATCCCACCTGGATTTTGGGGTGTCCTCAAGGCTGGAGGCTCCCCCAGTTCCCTGGGCAGGCTTTGTCCCTCTCCAAGTGCTGCAGCCATCCAGGGGGACCTGTCCCTGGGTGTCCCTGGGTGTCCCTGTGTGCCCCTGTGTGCCCCTGGGTGTCCCTGGGTGTCCCTGGGTGCCCCTGGCTCTGGGGTCCTGTCCCTGGGTGTCCCCTGGGTGTCCCCTGTGTGTCCCCTGT